TATATAAATATATTAATTATATTTTAAATTTATAATAAATAATTTATAATGTAAAAACAATTTTTATTTAATAATAATTATTTTAAAATGTTAATATTTAATTTATAAATAATTATAATAAATAAAAATTAAATTAAATAAAAAATGAAAATAATTTTTATATTAAAAAATTTATAAAAATATTCTTACCTAAAATAGAACTTAATTTTTAATATATAAAAATTATTCTAAAAAAATAAAAAATGAAAGAGCGGGATCCATTGAGAGATTTTTTAGGAAACAAATGATGCATGACGTGTCTTGTAAGTTGTACTGCTAGCAGCAGGTAGGATATGTTAAGTTGTGACACGTGGACCACGAACGTCCACAAACTGAGTTTACCCATGATGTTTACCATTAAGACAAATGAGCCAAAAAGAATAACGGTCGAGATCAATCTAAAATGATAGAGTAAGTGAGACGTATGGCGCACACACGAACAAACCACCCAACAAACAAGTCCAAGTCCAAGACAACCTGGAATTTCTTGTCCCAGCGCGCTGTTGATTCCTACGGTTTCGGAAGTTTCCGGGTTAAACAAATGGATCACATAAAGCCACATTTTATTATCATATTTTAAATTTTTTGGTGCCACCCAAAGATTCAGATTGCAGAAAATCTTTTGGATTTGAGGCCAAGGTAGGGATAAGTTGATGGGGGCGTAACAGAGCCACAAAAGGAGGGGAATTTCGGTTTTCAAAACCTCTTTTTCTCAACAGAAAAAAAAAATGTTGCAGAAACTGTGTTTGATGGCTTCTCATGGATGCCCTCCGGGTCTTGTTTTGCAACAAGAGCTGCCCATGGTTGGCTGCAGCATCACCAAGGTAAGGATATGGTTTATCATATGCTGATTCTGAAGGGTTTATTTTTGGTGTATCATCCATGTTTCAACCATTCGTTAGTATTAATGAATCGGTTTCTTAAAATTGGAGCGTGGCCTATGGAACTGGAATTTGGAATTGACTTTGTTATCTTTTATCTTTCTCAGTTAATTTTTTTTATTAGGATTATGAAATCAAGATAGTTTAGCATGGTTAATTGGTTATTGTTGTTTGAGTAATTTTAGTTGGATGAATGTGTATGCCACTATGTATCATTTATAATTGCCTAATTTCATTTTTTTTGTTGTTGTTGTTGTTGAATTTTTATGTGAGACAGGTTTGTCAACCAATATTGCCTTCTCCTGTACTGAAGCCAGAAATTATCAGATATGGATCCCCGCTAAATCCATTTGAGTCAAGCAAGTCCCGAAATGAGTGTTTTGATTCCAATCAGATTGTAAACGTGAACTTGTCGACTCAAAGGCCCATGCTTATTGATGTCCAAGGTGTGCAGGCAGCTCACTGAGTTGTGTATTTGATCCAACCATTTGATTGTTAACTCTTTCTACAATGTTACATGATTCTTTGTTCGATTCCAATTTGTCTAGCTCCTAGCTACATCACTTAAATTATATTTTTTAGTGATGTAATAATTGATAATCCTGCAAAATAAACTTTCAGTTTTGTTAAAAGGCTTGTATATAAGTATGGCTGTCTGACTTGGGCCTACACTTGAATCCACCTGACTATCATGAGGTGCAACCAGACAAGGATTTTCGAGGCACTCCCTGCAGTATGGACCAACACTATGTTGTAATCAGTAGTTAGATCATAGACTGTACTAAATCTTGGCAGCTGTGAGGATTTGGGTGTATTGGGATTGGGGTTTGAGAGTTGAGACATTACTCCTTGTAATCTTCATTGATCATAGTGAATTTTTACCCTTTTTTCAGTGGATGTATGCCTTTAGTATGATGTAGGTTGAACAATATTAATTTGTTTTTAGCACTATGGTAGTAAGGACAAGGTATTCCAAGAATGCCAATCAAGGTGCAAGGGACGTGCTTTGATATTCAAGAGTGGCAGGCAGAGTTCGAGTTGCCGACATACAGGATTTACCTCCGGGGACTTTTTTCCCTACCTAAAATGGATGCTATTCAACTAGCCTCTAAGCAACAGGTATCTCCTTGGAAAGAGATGACTTTCGAGCAAGGCTACTAGTCAAGGGAGGGAATGAAACCCATCCAAATGGATCATTGGATGTGCACCTGACCTGATTATGATAATTTCTTTATTATGTGTCATTTTTCTCAACTTGTACCGTTATGGACAGCTTGTGTGTATCTCTTATGTATTGATTATGCCTTTTTCTTTCATATGTTAATATAGTGGTGAAATGTCTAATCCAATGACCAAAAAGACTATGGTAATACCTAATCAGTGAAGGTTGGTTTTCTCTCTTGGATATGATGCATTGCTAGTTGCTAGAATGATGTAAGTAATTGGTGAGCAGGTGGTAGATTTGAATATTGAGTCTATATTTACTTCTGTGATGAATGTTCATGACTTATGCCGCTAAATTCTTCGTGTGTTATGTTACATGTCTTACTAAGTAATTTCACTTATTTTTGGTGGCAGCAACATATCCAAGCCCAGTACCTTTTGGCATTGGCATCGTTGAACAATGCACCGAGCACAATAAATTTGTGCAGTTTACCATGTCTGAGAGTGCTGAAGCTGGGATAGGTGGAATACATATTTCTTTGTTGTCTGACTTGATGGATTTGCAATTGTCAGGCATTGATGAACCTCAAAAACCATTGACACCTCTTATCCCAAAAAGCAAATTCTTCATCCCAAAGATTTTGCTAGATATTTTTCAAGATTCGGCCTTTAGTTCAAAGATTACAGTTCATCAAGATGGTCAAGTCACGTTTATGGGTACTGCAATTGAGATGAAAGATCTTCTTTCTGTAGTTGCTGACTCGTACTTGTCAGAACACATGCGTAAGGGTGAAAAACAATCTATGGTTGTTCCACACTTCAGCAGGTATAAACTGTGGAGCTGTTTAAGACTTAACTGATCACATCAAATTCTAACTGTTTTGGTTACTCAGAGTTACATTTTCCTAGTAGAACAAAATAATAAATATTTTTGTGTGTGCAAAGAATGTTAATCAATGGATAAGTCAAATTTAATTTGGTTTTCGATGTCAAACTTAAAAGCCTGGAAAAGATATGTTTTTAAATATGTTTGCTAATGTATTGGCAGATACTGGAGTCTTTGCAATCTGCATGATTTAGCCTTAACAATGTTGACTCTATAGTTTTGCATTCATGATAGCTAGTTGAAGAATTGTATCCATAAATATGCACAATTGACAATGGATTACTTTGTTTATATGGTGTAGTTAATGTCGGGACTAAATTTAGATGTGGTTCATTAGGTACTTTTGATATTGTTCTCTAATTAAAATTAGAGTTTCACCCTGACAATCCACATAATGAAGGTTGATATTGGTTACCTAGGCGAAATTCAAAATCTAATTGGGAAACAGTACTAAACGCACTTAAGTTTTGTTCTTAATGTATACCATATGATCAAATAACAATGAAGTACATATTTCCTGTCACTCTGAAGAATTACTTACCTCTTGTTAGTTGTTACACTTGTCTTGGAGGGACTGCTATTAATTTGGGGTACTTCCATTTAAGATAGCTGAAAATTTGGTCAATGGGAAGACAAACTTCTTTCTTCACTTGTCCCCTCCACAGACGAGTGAGCACATATATATATATATATATACATATATACACACATTTTTTTAATTTGATATTTTATACTAATTTAAGAAATGCATGTGCTCTAATTGTTAAAATATCTTTGATATTTTATTTCAAATGCTCTCTTAGGAAACTAACAAAAGAAAAAGGAACTATTTTGTGCATGATGATTCCTTGTTTCAACTGATTTTTCAGTAAGCTTTTGATGCTGCTATTATATACCTTTTAAATCCCCATATTTAACGGCCTAGTTTTGTTTATGAATCGTGATAGATCAAACAACTGACTTTTGCTGAAAATTTCTATGGACAGGATGATTTTCAATGAAGTAGAAGTTAGAAGTCATTCCTCCACATTGGATATTCACTCTACATTGACTGTTCCTTTAAGAAGGTATGCAAAATATGCTTTCTTTGACAACTGGCCTTTTTCCTGACTTTGATATATGCAAAAAAATGCTTGTCTAGGAGATTACTATTATTCAGATACTAGTTCATAATCATTCTGTTCTCTGTAAAACAAATGCAACTTTGGTTTATGAGATTTTCATCTAGTAATGTGTTAAATTTATGCTTCACTGTTCTGCATTTTGTTTCCCCCATGCTATGGCCTTTGTGGATAATCCATCGACAAACTGATTTTTGGTATAGGCGTCTGATGAGGGAGAATTATCATGTTGTAAAATTTATTTTAAAGTAATATCAAATGTAGATAGATATATATAATTTTTCAACATCATGATATAGAGGAACTGTGTAGTTTGTTCTATTGTTGGGCGGCATTATTGCTTTCATTTGTTTTTCTTGCTAGTTGTGGATAATCTCATCCACTGAGCATACAATGGCCACATTAATTTCTTGCTCAATATATACATACATTTATTATATGTTTATGTTTTTCTCTTGCTTAACAGTCCTGAGAAAGTCGAAGTCAAGCCAACGCAAAAAAAGAACAAGAAAGCAGCCAGAGAGAGGGATCTCTACAAGAAGAACTACTTACATGCATGTGAGAGTCTTCTCTCCTTAATGGTTGACAAGAGGCAACACCGCAAAACCGCTATTCTTTCTCTGAAGAAATCTGGCCCTAAGCTTCCTGAGCTCCTCACACAATTTTCTGTTGGCATCGCTGGTACTGGCCTTGCTGTCCTGCTATCTGTGATCTGTAAGCTAGCTTGCGGAAGGGTTCCCTTTTGTGCATTCAACACTGGGTTCGGATTTGGGCTGGTTTGGCTTTCATGGGGAGTTAATAAGCTAAGGGATACAATTGTCAGCATAAACAAGAATGCAGGAAAGCTAGAGCTGAAAGATGAGGACATTATTCAAAAGGTTGATAAGAACCTAAGAGAGGTTTACTTCAGAGCTGTAGCATTGCTAGCGGTGGCAGTGCTACGGTTTGCTTGAGTACTACCTCTGAAGACATGATCGCATTGAGTTTGAAGGGCTGTAAGTGTCGCGGGGCCACTCATTGGAACAACCATTATACCTGATCAGTTGGATGTCCATGGCCATGGCTTTTGGGGAAGTGATAGCAAAGCAATCTTGGTTTGAAACCAAATGAATCTTTGCTTGATCTTGAAAGCACAAGATTGTGGATGATTTGCTTGATCAGCACTTGGATGGTGGTGCACTTACGGTATGGTTAGTACCTAGTTTCAATAATCAAAGCAAGCAACATGCACTTTTGCTTGGTATAAGGATGGTTAGACAAATTGTAAAGTGTACGTAAAATTTTGTAATAAAATACTGTTTTGGTGAAATTGTTGTCAGGTTTTCCCTGTATACATAAGCTGTATGTCAGTACTACCAATGGATGCATGTCTTTGCATGGATTATCTCTACAAAAAGATTTCAGCTCCTGCTATCATATTCTACAAATATCATAACTATTATGTGCATAGTTAAACTTAAGTGAGAGCATACTTTAGGAAACTGGCATACAGCATATAGACTAATAGACTAAGCATGGATTAGTAGGATTTACCCTGAAAGAAGCTGTCACACAAGCAACAGGTAGGTGCATTAACGCATGCTGTAATGCTACTGCTGCTAATGTTCATCATATATAGCAGTAATCAACGATCTTATGATATATGCAACTAAAACATGATATTTTTAATAGCTATAATCTAGAATTTACGAGTAATGGAATTCACTGGAATTGATGCAACATAGGGTGATTATTTTAGATTTTGTTAGTAGTAAGCAATTTGAAAGGTTTGATGTAAAAAAGAATTTAACTTGTGTTTGCAAAATATATATAAAATTTCATTTTGTGTCGCTAATAGCATATTTTTGAAGTGAAAAATGTTATATGTTTTTGGATTTCATATTTACAACTAATTTTACAAGTGGAAATTTTTTTAGTTTAATTTTTATCCATTGTCATTTTAAGCTGTTAATTTATAGACAACTATCCTGAATAAGATCTTTAAAGTAATTATAATAAAATTTAACAAACATACCGTTACGATCCATGACACTATATGATTGGATGGTATTTACATTGTCTGCATTAATTTCAAGTTTTTTACTTTTTAAAATTAAGAGTATAATTTTAATAATGTAAAAATGTTTACATTCGTTAACTAATTAAAATTAATTCTAGATATAATTTTTAAAATAATTACTATAAAAATCAACAATTTTATAATACTCGAGACAATTAATAAATGCATGATGTGGAATTGTTTTTACATTATAAGTGCATTTTAATTAAATTTTATTGTTTTTATTTATTGTATAAATTCGTTGAAAATGGGTTGCACAATTCACCAAATTGGCTGTTAAGTGAGAGTGAGTGCATTAATTGTACTAAAATTTGGATATCGATTCATGATTTCATTATTTTTTTTTTATTATTATGAAAAGTATATGAAACATTTAAAAATTAAGTAAATTATGAATGTAATTAAAAAGATAATAGTTAATATTAAAAAGTAATAAAAATATTCTTTAAAATGATAAAAATAAAAAACGGAAGGTGCTGTATACGTTGACGTGTTTGGATAAATACTGATTTTGTGAAAGATATATTGTACCGAAAAAAAATTATGCACTCATCTAATTGTGACACTATTTTTTCGAATTCTTTTCTCAAATAATTTTTTTTAAATTATAAAAAAAAAATCTATTACATATTTTTTACCTAAATAGACTTCTTTACTGTTTACATTCAGAATTCGGTTCCCGGGAACCGAATTCTGAGCATTGATATTATTATTATTTTTTTTTTCAAAATTCGGCTCCTCGGAACCGAATTCTGAGTAATGTTTAAATTTTTATTTTTTTTTGTTTTGGGTTCAGGAATGTGTCAATTTTGTAACTGGAACGGGCCGTTCTGCTTGGAGAATGGCCCGTTCTGATCCATTCGTCATCTGTATATTTTTTATCTAGAACGGGCCGTTCTGAATCCAGTTTTCCTCTTCCTCAAAAACTAAACCGCAAAAAAAAGAAAATAAATAAAAAATAACAGTGCTCAGAATTCGATTTTTCAGAAACCGAATTCTGAGTGTGAACAATAAAGAAATTTATTTGAGTAAATAATGTGTAATAGATATTTTTTTGGTAATTTTTTTTAAAAAAATATTATTTGAGAAAAAAATTCCTATTTTTTCTCCATTCATTTCCGACAAGGAAATAAAACACCCACCCATAAAATTTTAGGTACCTGCCAAAAGAATGGGAAAAAAGTGCCATGCCCCTTTATTTATATTTTATCTTCCAATCGTGCATAGTGTGATGATGATAAATGATTATAATAAAAATATGTCGTAACTACATTAAAAAAATATTCATGTCGCAATTTTTTTGTCAGAATAAAATTATACAATTTATTGTAACTAGTTACTTAAAATTAATTATTTTATTCCATTTTATGATAAAAATTAGTGATCGATAGTTGATAGATACTAACACTCAAAATAAACTATTAATCAATTTTATTTTATTATAAATGTAAAATTGAATAAATTAAATATAATTATATGTAATAACAGTATTCATTGATAAATGTAATTTCTTTTAAATACGGTCTTAACAGAGTCGAAAAGGTATAACTATATTTAATTTAGTTCCAGAAAGGAATACAGCACCACAAGAATTTGACGCAGGGGAATGTTACTGATTTTGTGAGGTGGGAAAGGAAGGGCCCCATTGCACGCTCAACACTATCTTCTTCTTTTGCCCTTTCCTTCACTTTACTCCTTGCATCCAATTCTCTCACTTTTTTGTTTTTTTCTATTCATTTTTTTGTGTAGAAGAAATTAATAAAGGAACTTTCGCGACCCAAACGCAATCAAATCACAGATTGATTTGCCAAACAAACCCCAATTCCCTTTTTGAATTGAAGCAATGGGTTTAGGCGCTTAGTGTTGGACGAAGATGGTTCCTTGGGGTGGCGTCAGTTGCTGTTTGAGTGCTGCTGCTCTCTACCTTCTCGGCAGAAGCAGTGGCAGGTATAATCAATCGTTTCTTCCACTTTAATCACGTTTCTAGAACAATATATAATATAAAGTTCCTCTTTTTTTTCCTTTCATTTTTATGGGTACAGGGATGCGGAAATTCTTAAATCCGTTACGAGGGTCAATCAATTGAAGGAACTAGGTTTGTATCTTTTTTCAGGAACTGAAACCTCTATTGTCCGCACAGTTGGTTTGCTTCCACTATTCTATACTTTGGCAATTTTAAATTGGGTTATTGTTGTTTTGAATAGCATGATCTTGTGATTTCATAAATAACTGGGTGATATAATCGTTCTAGTTATTTTATTTTATTTTTATATTTTTACCAATGAGTAGGCAATCACCAATGGGATTTGTTGGAAATTCTACATTTACTATTGATATGATTAAAATAGTGTATATAAGTCCCTTGTCCCGTGAACTAGCTTCTGGGGTTGTGTTTGGTTCAAACTGAAATTTTAACATAGTATCAGATACTATCTTGGTGGTTATTGTTAGCCCTATCAGGTCACCTATTATTGGGCTATTATCAAACCACACGCTTGTTGGGCCTATCCTAGCCAGTCCTTGACTGTTGGAGATCCCACTTAACTAGTGATATGGTCAAAATGGTATTTATAATATAAGTGAGAGACAACTCTTACCCCATGAGCTAGCTTTTAAGGGTTGGGTTAGTTTAGGCTCAAATCCAAATTCTAATAGAGTTGTTTCAGTTCTCTTGTGGCGCCATTTACAAGAAAGATTGGTAGTGAAGCTTGTTGAAGAAAGTTATAGATCATCCCGTACAATTGTTAGTTGAATTCCATGCAAGTTGTTGGTATTGTAGCATTTTCTTATTAAGTATGTTTGATTTTTGAATGGTAGCTTCCAGAGGCCAAATGTTGGTGGCATTTGGCAAAGTGTTAGTTGTCTGAGATTGGCCTTATGTGGCTTGCTGATAATCATTTATCATGATATATTCACCTTTTTTGCTGTGCTGTTTGTTGCTAGATACTTCTTAGTTATCATTTTGGTATCAATGGGCTTAACATTTCACATCCAATTTAAGCTTGAGACATGATGTATACGATACTGGCCTCCTTGATATGTAATTGATGTACATTTCTATAGTGCAGAATAGATGAGGCTAGATGTTCTTTCGTTGCATTAGTGAGTCTATTACTTGATAATTTGTGATACAGTTTATGCTGTCATGGCTCCTGATCATGCTTGGGATTCCTTACTTTTCAGCTCAACTTTTAGATGCAGAAATATTACCTTTGATTGTAACGATTTCTGGAAGAGTTATCTCTGAAACCCCAATTAACTGCGATTTCAGTGGCTTAAGAGGTGTAATAGTTGAAGAAACAGTACGTAGACATAAAGCTTGAAAATCTCCATTTGATAAGGACGTTGCTTATCCTTTGTGGTTAATATTAAACCTGTTTTACAATTTTCCTTTTAGGCAGAGCAACATTTTCTAAAACACAATGATGCTGGTTCTTGGATACAAGATTCCGCTTTGATGCTATCAATGAGTAAAGAGGTTCCTTGGTATCTGGTGCGCAGTTTTCATTCACTCCTCTACTTGAGTTTTTTTTTTTTATTTTTTTATTTTTTAATTTTTATTTTTATAATTATTGTTAATATTACTGGTTATCACTTATCAGACTGATGGGATATTTGCTTTAGTCAATATTTAAGCTTATTCAGTGAACACTCCCCTTCCACTGCCAATTATTATTCTTGTTAATAAATATATGTTCTCTGCATGAAAACCACATTCACTTGAAATTAATATTTAGGATCATAGTGCCTTTCTCTTTATATATTAGGATGATGGGACTGATCGTGTGCATGTGGTTGGAGCTCGGGATGCCACTGGTTTTGTATTACCTGTTGAAAGTGAGGCATTTGAAGAGTCAGGTCGGTCACTTGTGCGTGGAACATTGGATTATCTCCAAGGTCTCAAGGTCGGAGTGCTCACATCCATCCAATTCTTTCTGTTCCCCTCTTCCTGCAAAAATAAAAGAAAAATAGAAGCATTGAATTGCTTATTTTGTAGACTGACATAATTGAGATCATGTTGTCAGATGCTAGGAATCAAGAGAATTGAGCGGGTACTTCCAGTTGGAACTTCCTTGACTGTTGTTGGCGAGGTAATGTAATTAATTTCAAGAATATGGCTAGTTACTTTTTCAAGAGTGTCGTATACTATAGAGTTATTTTATAATTGGTATCAGCAGAGTATATATATAATGTTACAAAATATAATAGGAGCAATACTAACCCTTCTACTTGCTGGAAGAATTATTTCATTAAAATGATTAAATGATTAAAAGCATGCTTCTCTGATATTGACATGTTGACTTGAATACTCATGATGTAAATTTTAGAAAGGAAAAGCTTCTTGTAGATTGGATTATTTGATACATATGATGTGAGATAAACTCTGCATTGCAAGTTATCAACTATTATCATAGTCACAAAATCAGTCGCATTGCAGCATATATTTGAATAAAAAACTATGTTCCAAAGAAAAAGGGATTGCAATTTCTATTTTTATTTGAGTTCTTCCTTTCTATTTTCAATTCATCAACTTCGGTTCCATTTTTGTGTCTATATAAATTAACCCTTTACTATTTTCAACTTTTTTTTTTTTTTTTTAAAATTAATGTTTAAACTGTATGACCAGGCTGCTAAAGATGATGTTGGGACCATTCGAATTCAGCGACCCCACAAAGGCCCATTTTATGTCTCTCCCAAAACAATTGATCAACTAATTGCAAATCTGGGGAAATGGGCAAGGTTACTTTACAAATATGTGAATGTGTATTGAGTGTTCTGGTGTACCAGATTTTTTTATTGACTAAATTTTCTTATTAGGTGGTATAAGTATGCTTCTGTGGGCTTGACCGTCTTTGGTGCTTATCTGATAGCCAGGCATGCTATTGAGTACATATTGGAAAGACGGCGCCGCAGCGAAATTCAAAAAAGGTACACATCACTAGTGATTGTTTTCATCATTGGTAAAAACTGAATACCATTGAAAGCTTTTTAATTAGGAAAAGAGGGATACACCGTTGTTTTTATGAAAAAGCGTTGGAACTTGGAAGCATGGTCTATACTAATCTCTATTCAATATTTACATGCACCTTTCTTATTTTTAATCGGTCTGAACAATTTTATTCAGGGTTCTTGCTGCAGCCTCTAAGAAGTCAGGACAAAATAATGAAGGTAAATTGCTATAAGTCAATTTTATTCATGTTTGCAATGCTTGTTTCAATAGTTACGATAAATTTGTGGTTCTTTCTCAGTTGAAAAGGCTGACGGCTTATCAGATGGTGCTAAAAGGGATCGCTTGATGCCAGATTTGTGTGTGATATGCCTCGAGCAGGAATATAATGCTGTTTTTGTTTCGTAAGCTATCAATCTCATCCTCTTTCTTGCTCAACATAAAATAATCTGTAGACTGTAGCCATTGCTTAGTCTATTATATGTTTTTCTGTATTCAATAACTGGCTATTATAAACAGTAGCTCTGAGAATGACAAATATAGTCCCACAATTTCGTTATTTTTCACTCAATATAAAATGTCAGTCATTTCTTAATTATGATCTTGATTAGCTATTATTAAACATGAAAAAAAAATGCTTATTCATTCCAAATGATTCAAAACAATGTTTGGTGGCCAAAATATGATTGTTTGATATTAAATTCAGTCTGAGTTTTACCAGCAAAAAAGAGAAGTCTGACATTGCAGGAAACTTTTCCCTTGACTTAACTTGTGCCCCCCATCCTCATCCCCCAGCGTTTTTCGCACCGAGTACTTTGTTATTTGTATTATATATGCTTTACCCCAATCTCAACCCATCCAAACTACCAAGCTAAGCTCAGGTGGATTTATTATATGCTAGTTACAACCACCCCAACTGAGATGTTCAATGGCCCTAAAGTAGAGTTATCTATTCAATTCCATATTCCATTCAAAATTCCTAAGGTCTATGTTATGTTGTCAGGTGTGGGCATATGTGCTGCTGTACGGCTTGTTCTTCACACTTGACCAATTGTCCTCTCTGCCGGCGACAGATAGAGAAGGTTGTGAAGACTTTCCGTCATTGAGTATTGAGCATGCATGGAAGCCCAACTAAAATAAAGTCACATGGAATTAGTTGTGCTGTAAGAATCCGAGAGCAACAATTTGGCCACTGTTGATTATATAATTTATGCACCTTTTCATCAGACATTTTTTTCAGGCTTTGTGAGCAATTCTGATATCAACGGCCTTTACAGAAATATCTAGACGGTGATGCTTTTGGCATCAAAATTTGTAAATATTTGTTACCCGAACATGTTACTTCAATCTGTTGTAAAACTTGCCATACCAAAAAAAATCTGTTGTAAAACTTTATTTTCTTATAGGACTTATTCTACTTTTTGTTGACACTTTATCTTAAGGAGTGAAGACAATTTGTTAACCGTACCAAGAGCTTATAGTATACATTGAATCCTTAAAGTGCTTATGCACTTGGTAAATGGTTGGTTGTCTTTGTAATCACTATTTTATAGATGAGAAATGTTAGTAATACAATATTATCGATTGAAATTAGTTTGAAATCACCAAATTACACGAGTTTCATATATTTATCGAGTTTTATTTATGATTTAGTAATTTTTAATAAATTTTATATTTAAATATGTTTTTAGTCCCAATAAAATAAAATTAATAATTTTGATTTTGGTCCTTCTAAATTTTTTTCTTTGTTTTACATCCTTCTAAAATTTTTAAACATTGGTCCTCGTAAAATGATTAAATTTTGGCTTTGATATTTGTAAGATATTTTCTTTGATTTTTAACCTTCTAAAATTTAAAATAATTATTTGTAGTTTCTAATGATCATTTTAAGGTAGATAAATAATATTTATTTTAAGAATTTATAATTTTTTTTAGAGATATTAAATATTAATATGATATTAATAATAATTGTAGATAATACATGATTACTTAACTTTTAATAAATAAAAAATAGTAAAAAAATGATCACATAAAAATAGAAATTAAAAATAATAGTTTTAATTCTATAAAGATGAAAAATAAAGAAAATTTTTTCCAGGAACTAAAATCAAAATTTATTAATTTTATAAAAATTAAAAATATATTTAAGTCTAAATTTTAATAATAAAAAGTGTGTTATAAAAAGTATTTTTGTTGTCGTATGTATATTAGTGCTATAGGAGCTTAGGTTGTTGCATTTTGAATTGCGTTCAAGGAATTGATTTTGGGGTGGATGTTAAAGTGGCATTATAAATTGTACATTATCATTTTGGTCATGTAACTGACGTGTGAGTACAACGTCACTTTAGTTTGTGTGCTTTATCTTCAAGGGAGGGTATAAAAAAAGTGAAAAAAGGGATCTTAAGCGCCGTTCAATAGAATTGAATTGATGGTAGCAGTAGCACCGTGAACAGTTTGGATTCTGGAATATATCCTTCGATTTCTAAAGGATGGTAAGAAACGTTCACCAATGATGAAAAGGAAGAACGGCGAAATGGGGAATCCTTTTTTGTGTGTGCAAGTGGAAAACGAGAATTCTTTGGGTTGAGAATAAAAGAGTTAAAATATATTTTAGATCAATAATAATTTGGGATGCTTTGCTTTAGAATTAGAATTATAACTCTAATAATGAGTGCCTTTCTTTCTTTCTTGAAGGGCTTGACAAGTTTAAATTCCTTTCTGCCTTGGCCCGACCAAACCGTCGGATTACGGCATCTTACAGATGCTGGCTAGTACCTACAAATCGATTCAACTTGTCATTGATTTTTTTTTATTTATCCATCATTTCTTTTTCATTATTAAAGAGTATTTTTCCTTGATCACCAAGACAGTTTTTATCCATCTTATCTTCTAAATAACATTGGAGAATATTTATTTTTTAGTGTACTATTTTAAATAATTGTGCATATTTTCAATTTGTTTTTAAATTTAAATTCTTTAAATTGATTGCCTATTATTTTTTTTTAATAATTTTAAACATATTCATTTTTAATATACATGCTTTACATTTTACCTTATGAATATATATTTCTTACAATCTATATTTTCTTTTAAATAATTTTTCTCTAAAATTGTATTTTTGAATTTTACCCAATTTTTTTTATTGTAATGCCCTGATACATTGAATAACATTTATCTCTTGATTGAGCTTGTACCATTGACAACAGCTATCTAATTTCTAGACTTGACATGATTAAAAATTTTATTTAGAAATTTTATTTAGCATGAGTAGAGTCTCCCCTAAGTATAACCGATATAAATTTTAAAATACATCAAAGAACATTTGAAAAGATAATAAAACCTTTGATGAAGTTACTTTAGAAGTATTTAAACATTTTTATCAACTTTTTGGATGAACCCGTGTTCATACAAAGAATTGATCCATCACAGTATGCAAGTTGTAGGCGCAGCCTAGGCTTTTTGGATCCTTTTTCTTTCTTTCTTTTTTGTTGTTTAATTTCATGATTAGAACCAAAAGCCATTATTATCTTCACATTACAAGAACCAGTAGAATCACGTTTCCTGTGAGGGAAGCTAACAAGATTCTTCCTTGCGATCAGGCCGTGATTATTTCTCCATTCTGCTATACTACAACACAACTGAATCCTATGCCATTCAGACTCATGTCAGTTATCAAATATCAACTTTCTCCCTTCTTTTAAATATGCCAAGTACATACATACAAATCCTCGTGGTGCGCTAGTTTTACTTTGTTTGTTTCAGGTGTAGGTGGACATATAATAATAGGGAGACAAGAAAGTGGGAATTGATCCCTGCCATGGAAATTAAGAAAAAGTAATCATTAGTGGCTAGGCTAGCTGTTACGAATCTTATCTTGATGGTTTCTTCAATTACAATTGGTTCTCGCAAAGGATCACACCTCAGAACTAGATATTTATTTGTATTTCATTTTTCAAATATCCTTGCCTTTTTCATCTTACCCTTCCACACTATAAATAAAAAACATCAAAACAATCTTGTACATATCTTGTATTGCACCACCCCACAATATTCTGAGTCTGAGTTTAACCCCCTACAGTTTCTATGGACAAAAACAAAAACAATTCAAACTATTCTATATGCAGGAAAATCCGTCAAGCACTTACAAGCAATCCTGCAATCCAAGCCGTTCAACGCATCTCAAGCTTCAATCAAAAACCTGAACCCGTTACAAAACGTCCAAATTCTCCACCACCCAACACTAATATTAGCATCAAAAACAAACCCCCACCACATCATAAGGCTCGCAAAGAAGAATCAGGTGCAATCCCCGTCAGTGCAGCAAAAGCTGCTTCATCAGGAAGACCAATCACACGTCAACCTCATCCACAGCATGTTCCCATGCAAGGGAAACAACACCAACATGGTCACGTAGTGGTGCAAGCTGAGCCACAAGGTAAGAAACAAATGGATATAAATGAACATTTCAAAGTGTTCATTGAAAATACGAGGGAGAAAATGATGAGAAGCATGACAAACATTGGTTGGGCTCAGAGCAACCACCCTGCGCCTGCACCGGATCAAGAAGTCCACGGTAGCAACAAAAACGAAAGCCATTATTCGGACTTTATTCAGCGTGTTAGGAAGAAGCTCAGGGCTACAACAGCTGTTCGAAAGTCTGGTTCCTTGAAGGAAAATTAAGGCTTGGAATAGATTATATATATTCAACTCACAAAGAAGGTTGATTAATTACTAATTAGTATTATTTGCTGGTGTGGTGTTGGTAAAGTATATATTGTGCATCTAATTCTAATCTTTGGTTGCTGTTGAGTGGGGATAAAAATAAGGCCATTCCTTACCAGGGTATGCAAGCATCATATTTCTTTACTGTTTGTAGTGTATACCAGAAAAATTGCTCTTACTATTTGTCCATTTTTCTTTTATTTTACAGTAGTCTTTATGCACTACAAGAAAAATTGTTATTATTTATGAAAATTTTTTCATAAATAATATGTTTTTATCTATAGAAAATTACCTACGAAATTTTTTCCATAAATAATATTTTGTTACTTATGAAAAATTATCTACAGAATTTTTTTCCTAAGTAATATTTTGTTACCTACGAAAAAAATTACATATATCTATGGAAAAAATTCCGTATGTAATGTTTTGTTACCTACGGAAATTATTTACAAATTTTTTTTCCGTAGGTAATATTTAATATTTTTTTTTCTCACATTTTTTATTATTTTTTTTGTGTGTTTCTTTTAATATAGTATAGAAATGAAATGCATACATTATTTTTCTTTTAATATTTTAAAGTTTAATATTAGTAATAATTTATTTTTTTAAAAAAATTTATAATAAAATATATCTAAATAGAATATAAATTTATCTTTCAAAAAACATATGAATTTATCTTGTATGTAAGATGTATTAGAATATATAAATAAATATAATTATCATTTTATAACTTAATTTTTGAGTTATCAGATCACATATTATTGAATAATTTACAATGTTAAATTTTATAAATTTTATTTTAAATTCCATCTTCATAACACTATTAAAAATATAAAAATAAATATGTTAAATTTTATAAAAGTCCAGTTTAATTTATTTATGATATAAATATGTTTTTAATATCTAATATATATTTTTAGATGATAATTTATTTTAAAATATATCTTATAATAACAATTCTAAATGGAACATAAATCTTCTGATTTTTCTTATTTTGATTTTTTTAATCAATATATACAATTTTACTATTTTGATTTTTTCAATCAACGTATACAATAAATAAAAAACACAAAAGATAAACATGCATG